ATATATATATATATATATATATATATATATATATATATATATATATATGATGTTGGCAATCTTCTGATTCCATCGACATGATTCTGATCGCATATTGGCGTGACTAGGATGCCTTGTGCCATTGCATCACACAACAGACCGATTAAAGACAACTCGCGACGGGCTGATCCCATTAGGGTCGCAAATGCATGACAGTCGCACGCAGAATCAGTCGCGGCAAGGTGTTTTCCTAATCGCGCAAAGAAGCTGGCGTGACAAGATTGGTTTTCGAACGTTGCAAAATGGCCTTGGCAGATGACGCTTTAGAAGCATTTATTTACCGTGAATTGTGATCGCGGTGAAAATGAAATGGCTCTCGGGTGTAAGCTGGATAATGCTCCCGCTCAATTACCCAAACACTTCCAAATTGTGCGACACAGACCGCCAAAGAGGCACTAGTTTAGGCGACTCAATGCAAGAGGCACGCAATGTACATCGCCTGGTAAGCCCACATCACCGCCTTTGCCTAGAAAACGTAAAATGCATCACTCTTCCACATGGTAGTGTGCTAAAATTCCATTATGCTTTCAGAACATGTATTTCCTTGGCTTCGGTATTTTGTGGCGCTTACAGCTACATATTTCATCAAATCTACGGTGTTGAGCTGTGGTGACAGCGTACCAGAGGTAAACATAAAACGCGCTTGCCTGCAGCCGGGTTTAGAACATGAACATTCATGCATGCCTTGTCAAAGCACACTGATGAATTTCCGTGCAACAGTTCTCGCTCTACGAATGCAGCTTAATTCCCTTTTGATACTTACCATGCCTTTCATTACACAAGCACTGCGCCATCCTAGAAGTTTTGAATCAAACAGCGATACATTTGCGTTGCTCAGTAGTACATTCATAGGTATTTTACAGAGGTCATTATGTTGTTCTGGTTTACAGGTATTATTACAGGTCTTTGGTGTTTTGTGAACCCGTTTCTCCATGTGCTGGGGACCGAGTTTAGAAAGCACACCTATATCGTGTAGATGCCGGTTCAGTTTTTGTCAGAATGGTAGGCGATCCATGCCTGCACGGCTCGAGCTTTTGGCAGCGTCAGCGAAGGGCCTTGATCGGGCTTCCTGCGACTGGTGCCGCGACGGCCCTCGTTTGGGATTTTGGAAGTTCTTTGAGACCTCAGCCCTTCCGAATGAGTAGTCTTTCTCAGAGCCAAGTGCTCAGATTATGTACCGATTCATGAAGTACGCCCGTTTTTGAGGAAAGTGTCACATTTTGGGCAGGCTATTGAAGCATGTCGGGACATCAACGATACAAAATGTATCGGCGCTCCACGCGTAACAGAACTGGGCGTGCTGGCTTGCGAGTGCAGATCTCTTCGCTGGGTGCAAGTCTGAGGAAATAGACGCAGGTTAACTTTTTAAAAATCACGAGTATGATAGTTTTTGGAGCCGATCTGAAGCAGAGCAGAGAGATTTGAAGCAGATCGCAGCAGCCACCCATTCATCCGACGTTTTGCATCAAAATGCCTGAGACAATTTTACGTGCCGACAGCGCTGTCTTTCATATCTCTCCGTAGTTATGACACTTTCTGGCCGTCGATAAGCTCAGCTTTGTGACACAGTTCGCATTCCTAATAATTTCGTGCTCCTTCAATATAGTCAAAACACGCAGTCTAATGCCTGCCTACTCCTGTTTTACGGAATGATTTAGACGACAAATAAGTGTTGCCGTCTGAACAGCTGTACAGAGCAGTGACGTCGCCTGGTGCGCTGGGACATGCACAAAGTTTCACAACGTCCTACTCGGCAAGCTCAACAGTACAACGATGGGCTCATTATCAGAAGACCATTGTTCGAGTCCCAGCAATTCCAAGACAAAATTCGTTTGTTGCGCGTGATGACTGAAAACTGAATGCTTTTCAGCCCCTCTCAGGACCCAGCAACACCGAAAAACGGCCGAAAAATTGACACCACAACGTTACGAACACACTAACGCACCATACGAGAACGACAGCCCTAACAACTATTGCACGGGCATCTGCTTATTGCAGTCGTAAGGAGACACTATCAACCGGTTTTGCGCTTGTCAGATATTTGTCACTAGGTTTTGCTGCCCGACCATAGATAGCATGATGACAATTTCAATTTGACTGACATCAGCACTTTTAACCGGTACCACCATCAACATACTAATATTTGCATCCCCCAGATGTCACTTGAGTCGCTATGATTTAGGATTCGTGTAATGGCCATCACGCTTACTCTGAGCCATCCACGATCAATTCATCAATCACGTATCATGAATAGCCGTTGAATGTTTAACCCTGAAAGAAAGTTCCGGTGTCGAAAAAATCTGAAAAAACAACGGCTGAAATCCTTTTTGTAAGGAATGGTACCCAATTCAGGTGATTTCGCCATTTACACCAAGACGCAATGTCGTCAATAGACCCAGCAGCTCGATACTCGTTCGGCAGCGGACTTTTGATTGAGCTCAAAAAACTGCGCACGTGTGCGCCGGGACCAGATTGCCTTAAGCGCAAAAACTAACACCGGCACGTCACTTTCCCTAGGTCCTACCCCTGCTAGTGATTGAATGATTAATGGAGTTGTTGTAAGTTCATAGCACGTAAAATGGTCTCCAACATTTCCCCTAAAAGTTGCGTAAGAGATAAATTTACTGATTTCACCACGATGAGCGCACAAGCTGAACTACGAAGGTCTACGATGGAACCCATAGCATGCCAAGTGTCGCGAGAACCAATCGTTGTATGAATATGGGTATGTTACCAGCTTGACAAACGTAATTCAAGTGGTCTTAAATGTAAATAAAACGGCGCGGATATTATTCATCGACCACAATATGCCATTTTAACAAGTCCCGCAAAGCAACCAACTTCCACCAAAGTGAAACTTTGCCTTGATTTCACCAGAAAGCACGTAAAAAATAAAAAGGTGCAATAAAAAGCGGGGAAACTTGTTCCAAACTTCATGAAGACCAGCCCCAACCGACTCCACCTTACCAATAATTTCTAAGTGAGAAAATTATATCGATTTGGTATGCGAAAACTTTAAGACTAGACTTATCAAAGTTAGGCTCTTCAGCCTAAGTCTTGAGGAAGCAAGCGCCGCTCTTATCCCCCCCCCCCCTGGTTCCTGCACTTATGGATCGCGCTGAAACGCGTTCAAGACGGTGTGACGTCACCATGCCACCGCTTCGCGCTACTGCGTTGAAGTCACCAGAAAAAGCTCCATGGTTTTTGGCTTGTAATTTCCGAGCCGCTTGAGATTAAGACATACAACTTGGGGCTGTTTTTAATGAGCCTCTTACATATTGCCAAAATATAATACCTAGTGCAGTAAATAACGGCTCCACAAAGCAGTAGCGCAGCCAGCATTCGCCCCGGAGGGAGCCAGATCGTGGCATGGATGGCCCCCTCTTTATCGGAATAGGGGCCCTGTCCACACTTAAGGCAAGGGCTGCCTGCGTCGGACTGTACGGAGTGTTGATGGCGGGAACACAAGCGCGGTTAAATATTGCTCAGTTTTGCTACAAATCACATGCATAATTGGACCAACCATTGAGAAGATTTGGTCGCGTATAATCTCACTTTAAAAATAAAAAAATATCGAAAGATTTTCATGTGTACAGCACGAAACGAGCAGCACCTGATGGTGCTTGTATTATCGTTGCACTTTGGTCCATATAGCTTTACGGCCGGAGAGAAAGCGCGAAAGGTACGGTGTTTCAGGTGTGCGGGGTTTGCCTGTGATGGAAAAATGCTTTTGAAATGAGAACTTCTTGCTTGCTATAAGAAACAAAAGTTACGTCACTTGGTGCACGCAACTGCTTCGAACAATGTAATGCAATGGAATGTTGGCAGAATTTGACGTTTTGACCAGCGCGATTCCAAAGCACCGATTATTGATCTCTTCCCAGCCAGAAGCACCACCAGCCGTCACTGCTAACTTAGTTGTTATGGCGACCAGGAATTCTCAAACATATCAGCTGAGATCAGCTGAGACTCAGGTGTCGAAACCGACGAGCCGGACGAGCCCGGCGTCGACCCACTGGTTCGACGATCGCACGACAGGGGGCTATTCGATTCCTCTGTCTACTGTGCAGCGCAGGGCTGTTGCCAGTCGGTGCCCAGCGGCCGAGCTCCAGCCACGGGACGTCACCACCGGCCGAACACGCGATACTGACTGCCACATCGACTTTCGATACACCGACACTGCGACCGCTGGTGAGGTTTACAAACATTCTGCATTCAATCGCAAGTAAAACGTACATGTACCATTGCATGCTATTTTCGATGCCTTTTGGCTTTATACGGACGTGCTTCGGGCATGTCTGTTTCGGTGAGGAGCTTTGGATGCACGTTGCGTTGTAATGCCAATGTTGTGTGGTAAAAAAGATTTGCTTAAGCCGCTCATGAATGTTGATAAATTGGTATGCTTGCTTGCAGCACTTCTTTTGAACACCGACACGAGAAGAGGACGAAATCTTACTTGAGCGAATCGAACACTACTTGGCCGACAAGAAGCAGAGATGCCGGTGGTGCAATCGAACAAGAAGAAACATAATTCGAAAGGAATGGACAAAATTAATGAAGTTGATAGTCATATTACTCAGCGGTACGAAATTCGGAAGAGACTCGGGAAAGGGTAAGTATGCATTACGTGATAGTCATGTACCTTCTTTCGAAGCTGATTCCAGTCTTCAGTCTTCTTTGATACTCTTCAACATTTTGCGACAAGTAAAGCACCATGTCCGGCGTGGGGCGAGTGAGGTCACAACGGACGGTTACCAGCTATCATCATGCAGTAATGCCAGAAATTCGCCTAATGGACCCGGCACCGTTGGCAGGACGATACCAATGGGTTTGACCAGTGAGTTG